TCCTCCGACATAAGAAATAGATATCTACTACATTGTTATTTAAATTGTATAAGCAAGAGTTCTTACTCATATGAGTAAGCCTGATTTGAATCATAACTGTTGAGTGTTACAAACTCCCACTCAATTTATAGCCTTGAGGAAGTTTACTGACCCAAAATCTCTTGAAGCAGCTAGGTTAACTAGCAAAATGCTAGGCTGGTGGTATGGCTCTAGCAGTAGAGCATCAGTTATGAACAAATAAACTAAATGCCAGAACCAGAAAAAGAAAAACTCAAGAGTCAAGAACAAGACCTAAAACAGAAGGCAAGTAACCTGATCTAAGGCTGCAGATTTTGCAGCGGGATTAAGTGGTATTTTCAATAGGCCTTGCTGGGTTAATTACATAAGTAGGTAGAAATATATATCTATATTTCATTTGACTTACTTCATACCAAAAATAAATTTTTGCTAACTACTCAGGAGGCTGAGATCTGAGGATCACGGTTCAAAGCCAGCCTGGGCAGGAGAGGCTGTGAGACTCTTATCTCCAATAAACTATCAGAAAACTGCTGTGGCTCAAGTGGCAGAGTGCTCACATTGAGCTGAAGCGCTGAGGGACAGCGCCCAGGCCCAGAGTTCATGACTGACAAAAAATAAATAAAATAAAAACAGAATTTTGGTAAACTTTAGAAATAACTGTGAAGGCCAAAATACAGCAGGCAAAGTTTTGGAGGTAATGCAGAAAATGTTTCCCCACACTCACAAAAATATAGATAAAATGAAATTAAATTTTGTGAGGTAGTAGAAACTGTAGAAGAAACTAGAAGATAGGATATTGCTAGAAGTAGGTTACCCAGGGTAGGCTTTGGAAGGGCATATTTAGTCCCAATCACTTACCCTCTTTTTCCTTTCTGGTTGTCAAGAGACGAATAGACTGTGCCACACACCACCACCATCACAACAGCCTACCTCTTTCTATGGGTCCAGAAACACAGAGCCAAGTGACCATGGACTTAACTCTGAAAATATGAGTTCAAAAAATAAGTTCTTTCTTCCTTTGGTTGTATAGGTAAGCAATTATGTCATGGCCAGGAAAAGATTGTAATTGAAGGAGGAAAACCAGTAGTCTTTGCCATATTCAAGTCCAATGTTGGCTGGTCTTCTATTGCTCACAGCTAAATATGCAATTCTCACTCCAATAAAATCTTCCCTTATCACACATCTCCAAGAGGGAATTCTTCCTATAAAACTGGGGCTTGAACAATGTCAATCTT